GTGACTGCTGTATCTTTTTAATTTTTTTTCTGGCTTTTTGAGACAGGGTCTCCCTGTAGCCCCAGCAATCCTGGAACTCACTATGTAGACCAGGCTGGCCTTGAACTTAAAGAGATCCGCCTGCCTCTGCCTCTGCCTCCCAAGCCTTTAATCTCTTTAATTTTTTTAAGTTGAAAAAGGTGAGTAAAATGAAAGGTAAAATCGAAATATTTTTTCCCATAAGCTCTTTTCTCAGCACCAGGTTATTTATTGTCAAATGACACCTAGAACAAGGGCAGGGGCTTGAAAATAATATTGGAAGATATGAATTCTCCTTAATAGCATTTAAAAATGTTTAAAAGGGAGTTTGTATGACTGACTGACTTAATTATATTCAATTACTACTCTTGAGAAGAATACAAGATAAGCACCTTCCTATCTTTAGATGGTATGGTCAGATACTGAGAAGATCTTTAAGATCTCATTATGCAGCTTAGGCTGGTGTAGAACTCACCATCCTCTTGCCTCTGCTTCCCAAGGGCTGGGGTGAGAGGTGTGTACCACACCTGATCCCCTGGGGCACCTATCAATCCTCAGCACATTAGAGAAGAGCAGGTTGTACATTTGAGAAAGAGGTGTATAGGGCCAAACTCTGGGAGTGATGCTGCACCTATGGATACACTTAGTAAGCCAGGAGACCACACCATGAAGACCGAGAACAAGACAGGCTCAATGGCATCTTCAAATCCCAAGCAGATAGCAGACCTCCCCTAAGTATTTGCTGAATTGTCTCAATAACTGCTTGTCACTCACACTGAATACTTAGAAAATGGCAATGCTGAAAGTGATTTTTTTTTTTGTTTGATTTTTTTGGAGATAGGGTCTCATGTAGCCCAGACTAACCTCTAATTTGATATGTAGCCAAGGGTGTCACTGAATTCCTGATGCTCCTGCCTCTACCTGCCAAGGGCTGGGATTACAAAATGTGCCATCATACCCACTACAAATAATCCTTTTGTAAAAAAATATTTTTCTTTTCTTTTTTTTATTCTTTTTTTTAAGACGGAGCATTTCATTACAGCTTTAACATACTTAATAACAGTTTACAGAGCAAAGATACATCTCTTTCAAAAGTGGCTATAAAATTTTTAGATTCACTGTTGAATTAATCGTTATAAAATATTGAACTCAGTATAAACCCTGTAAGACGTAGAATTGAATGAGTTTTTAACCTTTAAAAAAGATCTTCATTTCATTTTAAAATATACAGTTTCGTACAGAAAGACTCATTGTTTTTGCTATTAACACTGAGATGTTGGTGCATGCATCTCTATAATCTGTATGTATCTGATTACTACTAGTCATAATCGGTTGCACTTGGATCCTTGGATCCTGTGTATGTCTATAACGTCATCGGGTAGATTTCAATGGTAATGTTTATCACTTCTACTAATTAACACGACGTAAATTTTTATGCTTCCTCCTCAAATATAATTCATTTTTTTAATTTGTTGATTTTTTTGTGTGTGTGTTTATATATCACACAGAACATCCCACACCATCTATGTACCCACTTCCCAGATGGCACCCTCCCATAGCCTCCCTTCCCCCAACTAGAGCCCTTATACTCTGATATCCCTGCTGCTTTCTGCTGTGTTGTCGGCATCCCCAGCCACACCCCACTACTTGCCCATCTGGTAAATCTAGTCAGCCTGCCTAGAGGTCTTTGTTTTAAGAAGGTCAGCTGTTCCTCATCTAGTAGCAATCAGTTGTCAACATTCCTTTAGATAAGATTAGGGTCTACTGTTCATTTTGCCACTTCTAAGCTGGGTTACTATCTGGGAGTCCCTTGGGCCACCCTGGCCAACAACTCAAAAGAAGGTATCTCCTATCCAGCATTGTTGCTTGTTCTATAGCCCTTAGCTATACATATGGACTATTAAAAATTATATTGGACCCTTTAATTTTGGTTATAATTTCCTTTTGGGTGTTTAAGGCCATAGAGTTGACCCAGATAAACCAATTTATTTTTACTCTTAAGGTCGTTTGAGGATCTGTTCCTCAGGGGTCACATGGGCTTGGGAGGAACCCTGGCTTCTTTCTTTTACCAGATCTGCCTATGTGAACACAAATCAAAGGTCCTGTTTGACAATGGCTGGCTTCACTTGGAAGCATGGAGGAAATGTTTCCTCTGTGTTGACCCTCCGCTTTGTAGACTGGACACTGGTTCAAGTCCATCTCGTGGGGTTTCCTTGGCCTCCTTGATCAAGAGGACAGGTGACCCACCACAATTACAGGACATTCTGAGAGATGCTCAGAGTCCCCTGGAACTAGTCGACCTAGGAGGGCAAGGAGCAAAAACTGTCCGTTATGTCCCTCTGACCAAATTAGTATAGGCCTCAAAGTATGTCTGTTAAACATCCAAGAAGGTTAGTTCCACCAA